ATGCACCCTTGATGTCTATCAGTGATAGACGTTCCTCTTGCTACAATGATGCAATTACAGACCTAGCCAATTTTATCCGGAACTCTTGGACCTGCAATAAGGTGTTGAGGACCTTCAAGTGTAGGATAGGTGAACACCACTGGGCTTCAGAATGATAAACAGCTTTAATTTAAAGCCCTGAAGTTGTTCCTCCAAGGAAATGTGAACAATCATGCCCGAGAGGCAGGCACGTTTTAGGGCATACAGCAGGGAAACCATAGCAAGTGGAACTCCAGCCTGTACCCCTAGGGTACACATTCTGAACCCATAGATATGAAATGCTCCAGGCAGCTGAAAAAGCCAATAGATGTCCCTTCATTATGAGGGGGAATTGGCACCAGACTTAAAGCGATTCTAAAAGGTAAATTTTTTTTTTGTGGAAAATAACAAACATGTCTATACTTATATGTGCAGTGATTTTGCACAGAGAAGCCTGGAGCCTCCTCTTTTCGGGTCCCCCGCAAGCTCTCCTGGCCCCTCCCTCCTGTCGGTTGCCCCCACAGCAAGCAGCTTGCTATGGGGGCACCTGCTGCTCCATGTGTCCATTCACACACGGAGCCAAGGCTTGGCCTCACCCCTCTCTTGTCATTGGCTGACTGGCTGGCTGTGATTGACAGCAGCGGAAGCCAATGGCTCCTGCTTGCTGTTTCAGCCAATGAGGAGGCAGAGACCCGGGACAGCCGAAGCTGTGATTCACATCGCTGGATCACGATGAGGCTCAGGTAAGTATTGAGGGGGCACTGCTACACACTTTTTATTCTATGCATGGAGGTAAAAAATCTTCTGTCTTTACAACCACTTTAACTAACTTAAATTTCCAGGACTTGCGACGGAGTGGAGAACTTAGCTTTTGAAGCAGAGGTCTGGAAGAGACAAATGGAACTCTTCTGAAACTGGCAGAATTTGCACCTTAGAGTTCTTCTTACTAGAAAATAGTGTTTTTTCCGCTTGTGACTTTTCTAATAAGGTTGTCAAGTGTTAAAAGTTGTTCTCTGTCAAACATAAACCTTTCAAAACATTTCTTACAAACTGTCTCCACAGACCAACTCCACAGCCAAAGGATCAAGTAGATTTGCACTGATATGAGCACCAGGTGAGAAATTTGACAGGAAGTCTGCAAACCACCTACACCAGGGGTAGGCAACCTTTTGAGCATAGTGTGCCAAAACTTCTCACACTTATTCAGGAAAAAAAAAAATGTTTTATAAAGTAAGTGTTATAAACGACCAATTTCTGCACCTTCACCCCTCTGATTAGCCCCAATTCCTGCACCTTCACATATCAAATTAGCCACAATTCCTGCACCTTCATACCTTAGATGATCCCAATTACAGCACCTTCACCCCCCCTGATTGCCCCAATTCCTGCACCTTCACACATCAAATCAGCCACAATTCCTGCACCTTCAAACCTCAGTTCAAACCTCAGGGTCAGCAGGGCAGAAGTCAAGGTCAGCAAGGAAAAGGACAGGGTTAGTGGGGCAGAGGACATGGTGAGTAGGGAAGAGTACAGGGATGAGCAGGATAGAGGATAGAAAACAGGGATCTGCAGAGTCAAGGATGGGGTCAGTGGGGCAGAGGATGAGGTCAAAAGGGGAGAGGACGAGGTCAAAGGGGCTGAGGATGGGGTCAGCTGGACATAGTATGGGGCCAACAGGGCATAGAACGTGGTCAGCGGGGCATAGGAAAGGAGCCAATGATACATAGAACAGGGTTGGCGGGGCAGAGGACAAGGTCAGCGAGGAAGAGAACAGGATGAGCAGGGAAGAGAACAGGATGAGCAGGAAAGAGAACAGGATGAGCAGGAAAGAGAACAGGGGTCTGCAGGGTCCCAAAGATGGGGTCAGTGGGGCATAGGATGGGGTCAATGGGGCATAGGATGGGATCAGCGGGATACAGGTCAGTAGTGCAGAGAACAGAGTCAACGGGGAGGATGAGGTGAAAAGGGCTTAGGATGGGGACAACAGGGCAGAGGGTGGATTCAGCAGGGCATATGTTGGCGTCAGCAGAGCAAGGGACGGGGTCAGAAGAGCATAGGATGGGGTAGTAGGGCAGAGCATAGAGTAAGGAGGGGAAAGCAGGGTGACCAGGGCAGAGGATGGGGTGAATGCTGGCAGGGCACTCATCAAAGCTGTTCCTCCCCATAATGCACACAGTTGTATTATTTTACAGACACAACCCCAATCTTCCCAGTGTGTTGTTGGCTGTTGCACCTGTGTTCCAATCTGAGGGTTTCACACGTCAGAAATGCAACAGCCAGCAACACACAGTGAAATAAAGCAGAACTACAAGGCGTGGATACTGAAATCCAAATATCTTGAGGTAGTTTTGAGTCCAGTGCAAAAGGCAACTTTAAAGGCCAGTTCCACATCATCCATGTGGAGGGGTCTGGGACTGATATGCAAGCTGCAATCATATTGCCAGTGGCTTTGATGCAGCTGGCAGGATGGAGGGGGTATCTGTGTGTGAAGAGCAAAGCATTGTATTCAATCTTCCAGTAATGTCAAAATTACTTGCCAGAAACCTTCTCTTAGTAACCAGATCTCCATAACATAAGGACATTGGCAAAAACTAAGGATTGGAGGGTGTGGTTGGGGTTATATGGGCTGTTCTAACAACTCTGTTTGCCAGTGTCCTCATGTGAAGGTGGTGCATATATCCCATGTTAGAAACGGTAATTGAAAGTAAAAGCAAAAGACATTTCATTAATTTAAAGTAGAACTATAGGCAAAACTTTGAGTAAGGAAGGGTTATAACAGATCATTTTTTTTGCCATCGGTTCCCCATTGTGGAGATTTCACTTCACTTTCTGTCCCATAACCAAACAGGAAGTGAGAGGAAATTCCTTGGGGATCCCCCAGATCACCAGAACTAGTGTCCCTCTATTACTTTTTGGGGACAACCCAAAATTTGGGATTTTCTTTATTTTCACTTTCAATAATGATAAACAGGACAAATAGGGTGAATCTACCTAACAGGGGCATGGACCGCAATAAAAACTGACAGGCATTCAAATTCCTTTCCACTCTGTCGGGAAAAAAAAAAAAATGTTTTGCCTTTATTTATACTTTAGAGGATTTCATATCAGCATGTAGATCTGCATGCTGATGTGTTTTATTTTTTTTGTGAAAAGAGGGAAAGATCCGATTTAATTGCGCATTCCACAGTTATGCAAAATGAGCAACATACACTCACCGGCCACTGTTAGGTACACCTGCTCATTTGCTTGGTAACACAAATTGCTAATCAACCAATCACATGGCAGCAACTGCATTTAGGCATCTAGATCTGGTGAAGATTACTTGAAGTTCAAACGAGTATCAGAATGGGGAAGAAAGGAGATTTAAGTGACTTTGAACGTGGCATGGTCGTTGGTGCAAGATGGGCTGGTCTGAGTATTTCAAACACTGCTGCTCTACTGGGATTTTCACACACAACCATCTCTAGGGTTTACAAAGAATGGTCCAAAAAAGAAAAATATCCAGTTAGCGGCAGTTGTGTGTACGAAATGCCTTGTTGATGTCAGAAGTCAGAGGAGAATGGGCAGACTGATTCGAGATAACAGTAACTCAAATAACCACTCATTACAACCAAGGTATGCAGAATACCATCTCTGAATGCACAACATGTAGAACCTTGAAGTAGATGGGCTACAGCAGCAGAAGACCACACCAGGTAGCAAGGTGTACCTAATAAAGTGGCCGGTGAGTGTATATTTGCTACTATACAATATGTCTGACAAAGGGCCACTGGCATTGACTTTTTGGGCAATTTGCGATCGCGCTGTCAAAATTTTGATGTAGACGTATCCCAGCATGAAATACGGGTACCAGGTACGCCCAGCTGATAGTGCGGAGACCACGTGTGTGTGAGTACAGAGGGCAGGAGGCAGAAGGGGATCCAGGAAGGCTGGGTGTCAGGCAAGTGAAAATGGTGGACGAAGCCAGGGTCGGTGTACGGGTAGTCAGGCATAGAATACACGTAATCCAAGGCAAACCAGGGAAGGTGCTCAGACATCTCTGGGTGCACTGAGCATAGCTATAAAGAGGAAAAGGGGGCACACTTTATGTCTGGAGGAAAAAGATTTAATCTTCAAATATCGCAAGGCTTTTTCACAGTAAGAGCTGTGAAAATGTGGAATAGACTCCCTCAATAACTGGTTCTGGCCAGCTCAGTAGGTTGCTTTAAAAAGGCCTGGATTCTTTCCTAAATGCACATATTATAACTAGATACTAACATTTATAGGTAAAGTTGATCCAGGGAATATCAGATTGTCTCTTGGGGGGGATCAGAAAGGAAATTTTTCTCCTGCTGGAGAAAATGTGATCATGTTTTGCTGGTGAGTTTTTTACTTTCCTTTGGATCAGCTGGGGGCATATGATTGTATATATAGGATTGCATACAATTTTGAATACTTTTTCTTTCCTTTTATTGGTTGAACTAGATGGACTTGTGTCTTTTTTCAGCCAGACTAACTATGAGCAGGCTGGGAGGCAGGCCAGGAAGTGACGCCCACAGGTGAAAACAGAAGCCAGCAGCACGTGAATGGGATCACAGGTCTAACAGAACAATTGCAGCAAGGAGGTAAAAATTTCACAAACAGAAAAAAGCAAGCTTGACCATGACACCTAAAGGGTAGAAAAAGACACAAGTATGACCAGACCTGTGCCAAAGGTACTTGAAAATAACATCCGCAGCTAAAACTGAAAACAATTAAAACGTAAGCAGCAAAACACAGATTATACCAATAAAAATTGCATTTTAATTCTACAAATATACAAGTGTGAAAAATAAATAAGACTCCATGTCTTTGCTTAAGTCTCATCTTCCCACTTTGGAAAGCAACAGTCTGCATTTTTGTGGGTTAGGTGCAGTATGTAAATTGTTCATCTGTACTAAAAGTTTAACAACTGCCCATAACTCTTTCTTTAAGGAAAAACAGTTCTGTTCACTGTGCCAAATTCAAAACTTGAGGCTGAAGCCGGGCCCAGCAGCTGATGCTCCCTGGTTGGTGGTGGTCAAGTGAAAGCCGGTGTCTTTGAGATCATCATCACCCTAGAAAGAGAAAACAAAAGGATAAAATCTGAGAAAGGGGGCAGCATACACTACATGGAGACTTTGTATGAAGAGGAGGACCAATCAGCTTTGAATATGATGGGCACCAGCCCATACTGCTCAGTGAAAACAAAAAATGTGGTTGTTAACAAATTAATACAGTGCTCTTTAATCTTCCTACTGCCGCTTGTGAAGTACTAAGGTGAGGCAGTAATGTGGTGTGAACCACATGCAATACCATCCATGAGCTTCATCTTATAGAAACGATCTAGGCAGCTGTAAAGCCTCTAGACCTGTCTCTGCATGTCATGTATGGGTTATCAATATCATATGCAATCTTAGTGATAATTATTCACAATCTCTCCATTATGTATGCATGTACAGTATAGGTTGTCAGATTTTGTTATTGTGCTTAAAGTTGCCATTTTTCCTCAATAATAAAAGAAAAGTTTTTAAAATAAAAATTAGGCAAACACATTATGATATCCATTCATGGCTACACTCTATGACTTGTCTGTGAACTTCTAGTGAAATTGTAATAAAAACTTGTAATGACAAGGCTGAACCATGATGTAGCAAGGGAATAAAGCTGCAAGAACGTTTTACTCCTAATCCTAATTATCTTTTCTCTTTCCTGGAGAAAAGAAACGTCTGGATTAAACATCTGGATTTGATTACCCATGGGTCCAGGCTTTCAGTGTGCACACATATGTCTCCTCCATTTCAACAAGAAAAAAAATAAAGCTGTATCTAAAGTTTGCTTTTTTTTTTCTTTAAAATAACAAACATGTCATACTTACCTGCTCTGTGCAATGGTTTTGTACAGAGCAGCCCGGATCCTCCTCTTCGCAGGTCAGCGCTTCTGGTCTCTCCTCCTTGCCGAGTGCTCCCAGAGCAAGCTCTTGCTTTGAGGGAATTCTTGCATGCCTGCTCCTGAGCACTTTGTGTGTCTATGGGACAAACAGAGCGTGACTTTGTCCTGTCTGCTCCTTACTGGCTATGACAGAGTAGTGGCAGCCAATGGTTCCCGCTGCTGTGTCTCAGCCAATGATGAAAGAGTGACCCAGTAGAGCCCCTGCTTTGGCAGCCAATGGTTCCCGCTGCTGTGTCTCAGCCAATGATGAAAGAGTGACCCAGTAGAGCCCCTGCTTTCGTATAAATGTTTGGATCGAGATCGGGCTCAGGTTGGTATAAGGTGGCTGTACCCTGAAGGTTTTATTTACCGTTATGCCTAGAATGCAAGGTGTGGGGACTGAAAGTAAAAAACCTTCAGCCTTTCATATGACTGACAAAAGTAGAGTTATTTGTTAAAAAAAAAAAAAAAATTAATATAAAAAGGGAAGGGAACACTGTCCTATTAGTTCTGTCAAAATATTGTTGGCTTAGGTCAGATCCAGCATCCATTGAACTGCACAATACCCTCTGTGGGTCTTACTATCCACGACATTGCTCAAATAGCAAACACCTTCATATTAGCAGAAAGTTGCATTTCCACACAGATTCCGTTTTACCACATCAAATATTTGTATTCATAGCTTTACTTCCTTTACATAGATCATTCAGATAACAATATACCCAGGTGAGAAGCCCCAAAAGGAAGCAGTCACTCTCATTTTTGGCTTGCATACCAGTTCCAGGGCAGTGACACCACTTGCAATGAAGCTGAATATGTACTGCTTATGATGTAATATGTAGCCTAGGAGTCTAAGGCGCGTTGAATGAAAAAAAAAAAAAAAAAAAAAAAGTCGAGTGTGTGGATGGGGGAATCACTCTCACTGAGGTATTGTATTCTGACAGTGTAGAGACTTCCCCGCACTCAGAATACACTGATCAGCACTGCAGGCTATAGCCAATGGAGCAGATTGTGTGGAAATGTTCCATCAGGTTGGTTACACAGAAGTAAATTGGTGGCCTGCCCATAATCTTCCGTTCCCGGCTTAAGTACCACCCAGACTATTTATAACTGATGAGGGTTTGCAGCATTAATATGGTTTTAACCTTTTTCTTTTCCCTTTCTCAAGGAAAATGATGCAGTCAGAGACCTCTCTGTTCTGTTTTGCATGCACTCAGACTCATTGTCATACAGTAAACAGGGTGCTCACAGACACCCAGCTGCCCAGGGTTTAGCTTCTGGAGAGCTTCATTGTTCCTGGGGTTACTTAGCAACTGCATGGCTTTAGGCACACAAAGAGGAAGAATCTTTGCAAGGCACCAGAATAATCCAGTAAAGTAGAAAAGTAGTAGAAATAATTATATTATTATTATCAGTAGAAATTATAGGAGAAGAATTATGGAAAACTTTACTGAACATTGTTTTCCTTCAGAATGGAAATGTTCTGTCACTGCAAGGTTCAGCTCCTATGGGCAAAAGGAAAATCAAGTGGCAGATTTCACCTTACAGTACTTACTTGACGAAGACTGAGACTGAGGTTTTCCATAAGCCAGTAAAACTTACACAGTCATTGCACTTTATGCTACAGTGGCTAAGCGGTTAGCACACCTGCCTTGCAGCACTGGGATTCTCAGAATCCTGACCAGGACAGTATCTGCATGGAGTTTGGACATTTCCTCCAGATACTCTGGTTTCCTCCCACTTTCCAAAGACATGCTGGTAGGGTAACTGACTTCTGTCTAAATGGCTCTAGTATATACATGCATGTGAGACAGGGACCTTAGGCTAATCTCCTTGAGGGTAGGCACTGATGTGAATTATTAATATGTAAAGTGCAATGTAAATTGACGGTGCTATATAACCGCTGTAATAAAAATAAAGTAAGCCTCCATGTTTGAATAATAATAGGTGAACTCACCAATTGGCTGTAGCCCAGACCGCCTTCTGGAGGACGAGGACTTGTGCCACGTTTCACCCTCTGCTGTTCGCTCTTTGCTGGCCATGTTGGGAACACAGAGGGATCGATTGGCAGGGGAGTTTCCCGGAAATATTCATGCTTGAGCCCATCTTCTGCATTAATTCTCTTGGCCGGGCAGTAAGTCAGGAACCTGTAGGAACAAAAAGTAAAAGCAAACTTGTCTATGGAAGCTAAAACAGAACTGCCATGCACATAAAATAACTGAGCAGAACTATGCAAGGTGACAAAGAAATATGAAATAAAATCTAATGTCTTCTATATTAAAGTTTTTTTTTTTTTTAAAAAGTGAAACAGTGCGCAAAAAAAGCTGTTAATGACATTGAAGAGAAATATGGAGGCTACCATTACTGAGCTCCCCTCATCAAATTTCTAGTTACCTGTCATGCTGACTCTGAAAGTATTACCGTTAGTGAATCAGCCAAACAGCCAATCAGATAGCACTTCCAGAAGGTTAGCGATGACAGTCCACAATTCTCTCAGTTTTATGTTAAAAGTAAACATTTTAGTACAGGTTAACTTTAAAGTGTTTCTAAACCCAGCCCCCTGCATTCACTACATCTGGTCTTCCACAGTACACAGAACATGGAAGTGCAATTATTTTAGTAAATATAAACTGCTAAATACCTTTTCTCATCAGCAGTTATATCAGTCTTTTGACTTCAGGAGAGCGCTGGTTAAAGCATGTAGGAGGAGTTTTCTTTCTGCTATAGGAGGATGTAAAACCCCTGACCTTCTGTCTGGACAGTGCTGACTGGCCCTGTGCTGATCACATGCACTCTCCCAAGAAAAAAAAAAATGTCTCTAGTAATACACACTAAACTGAGCATATGTATGTGGCTACGGGTTCAGTCTGTTCTATCAGTTGAACATCTGAACAAGAGGAGGGGCAGAGAAAACAGGATTTAATGGCCTTTTTACACAATGCAGAGGATTAACCCTTTAGGTTCCACAGTGAGTATAACAAGCATGCTTTACTGCATATACAGACTGATTTTACTGTTGTGGGTTTAGCAACAATTTAAGGCAAACATGAAAAATCTCTCAACATACTTGTTCATGAGGTCAAATCCTTGGTCGGAGAGGAGAGCTCCAAACCTCTTCCGTAGGTTGTTGTATGGGTAATCTGCAAAGGTCATTTTCTTGACTGCAGGGAGTTCATTGTAACCTGGCCAGATCTTTTCACTAGGTGTCCCCAGATCCTGAAACCAAAGAAACAAGTTTTATGCGGACTGTGCAATTTGCCTGCTCACACTGGAGAACCACTTTGATTAATTTATTCACAAAATACATTTAAAAAAAGAGCAAGCTCAATATGATCAAATGGGGAATTTTTAAAGCCAGTTGCCTTGGCATTATGCATATCAAATATTTTAAATTACGGTTTAAAAGTTTTTTTGGTTTAAACATATTTCATAAATAAGCAAACAAATATCAAACCTGGATTTCCAAATTCTTTTTTATTGACTCTTTAAAACAAACCTGATGGGTAACATCAGCTCTGTAAGCATCCCTGGTGCCTGAAAGATGCCAACATCCAAGTTATGGGTCAGGATTTTGACCCCAGCCATTCCTCACCCTTAAATGTATTTCCACTTTTGCAGCCAAATTGGGATGACATCTTTATATATGTTACATATCCCCATTCACATAGTGTAAGTTAAAAGAAAAAAAATAATTGCAAATGACCTATTTTGGATGCTATATTCTGAAACCCCCAGCACTTTACAATTCTACTAGATCTCTATGTTCATGAGGGGGCTGGGCAGTTGTGTTTGCCATAACTAACCCTGCTTATCTTGTGCTGACACATTTTCATTATCAGTTTTAACTAGATTTGAACACTGTCTGTCCGAACAAAGAGTTAAAAGGATAAGTTCACATTTTGACATAAAAAAAAAGAAAAAAAAAAAAAAAAAAAAAAAAAAAAAAAAGTAAATGCACATTTTTTTTGCAGGTGAAGAAATGTGCATGTAATATTTTTTATTGCAGGAGCCTGTAAAGCATTGCACCAGCGATCAGCAGATTGCTGGTGCCATGCAGGTCTCCTGCAGACCTGTCAGTATATATGCTTGACCGTATGGGATGTTGTGGGCAAGCAGATATACTGACAGGAAGAATCAATGAACTACCATGGTGCTACACAGCGCTGTGGCAGTCCACTGAGAACTACAAGCTGACAACTGCTAAGGCTGTGGGGACCTTTAGTTGATTCATTCACAGAACTCCATGAATGAATGATAGAGCCGTTGGGGGGGGGGGGGGGGGGGGGGGGGTTGGGGAATAGGGCAGCGGCTGCCGCACTAGGAACATGTTCCACCTTAAGAATACACTGATCAGCTCTCACAGCCATTGGCTGCAAGCACTGATTGCATGCAGATTTTACAGCATGCCCATTCAATAAAAGTTGGTCATTAGGCCACCTTCTGTTGGACAGGCTGCTGTACACACAAGACGAATGTTGGCCAGTTTCTGTGGAACTGGCCAATATCAGCCGATATTTGGCCGTGTGTACCAGCCTGAACTCTCACACTGTTGAAAAATCCTGGCAGTCAGCCATTACACCCTCTCCCCAAAAAACAACTAAAACTGCTTTTTTTTTTTGGGTATGCTATGTGAATAGACACACAATCATATAGTGGGGCTTTCTCAAATTTGACTGCAAAAGTAAAAATATGCTTTAAACCTAAGATTATGGACCAATTGGGATGCCCACCACAATAATGGGCTATTGCGACAGCACAGGGATAGGCTTTCAATCCATTTAGCCTGTACAAGAAGTGTATTCCTAACACTACTAGAGGTGTTAACATTAACCACTTAAGGATCGCCCTATAGCAGATATACTGCTACAGGGCAGCACCTGTGTGCAGAATCACGTGTATATACTCAAGTCATTTTACATTTCCGAGTAGGGGGCTCGCACAAGCTGCGTGCGCGTCCTAAACGCGCCGCCATCCACGGCCGCAGATGTCAATCACCGGGCCCCGGCTGGTAATTACTTGCCGGCGCCCGGTGATTACCGAGCATCTCCGACGGGGAGGAAGATTGTTTGGCTTACAATTTTTTTACCAAAAGTCGCTGATCGCCGCCATTACTAGTAGGAAGAAAAAAAAAAAAATTGCCCCATTATCAATACCGCCATTTGTAAACCCTATAACGTCCGTGTAAACCAATTAATTTACATGTATTGGGATTTTTTTTTAGCAAAGACATGTCACAGAATACATTTTGGCCTAAATTTATGACAAAATTAGATTTTTAAAATTTTTTTTTATTGGACATGTTTAATAGCAAAAAGCCCAAAATATTGTTTTTTTTCTCAAAATTGTCGGTCTTTTTTTGCTTATAGCGCAAAAAAAAAAAAAAAACACAGGCGATCAAAGACCACTTAAAGAAAGCTCAATTCGTGGGAAAAAAAAAAGGACATACATTTAATTTGGGTGTAGTGTTGCATGACTGCGCAATTGTGAGTTAAAATAACACAGCATCGTAATGCAAAAAATGGCCTGGGCAGGAAGGGGGGTAAATCCACAGGAGGGCAAGTGGTTAAGAAAGGAACTGAGGTGCCTGCTCTGTTCTAACAGCACTAGTTTGGATAATTAGGTAATTGGTTTGTAGGGTCGAAATGCGTCAATGGGCGTGTCCATTACAGCAGCTGAGGCTATTCCTTAACATTGTACTCCTGGGGTCGGTTGAGCAGCGTCCATCCCTTCACTTGTATTGGTTATCAGTGAATTGTGGGTGCAATCTCAGGCTCCTGCAGACACTTACTTCAGTTTTCTGCCTGTATTTCCATAAGGGATTTCGGTTATAAAGCTTGAGAAAATGTCACTGAACTACAGGGGGTTCTTATCAGTGGCCTCGTAGTTCATTGAGAACTACAAGCCGTCTGCTGCAGAGGCAGACAGGACTTAAAGTTTATTTATTCATAGATCTCTCTGGATGATGACAAAGCTATGTGGGTGAAGGTGAGGGGGAGGTCCTGGAGGCATGGTATACCCTAAATATGGGTGTAACATATTCCTTAAACCTTACCTTAAATATTCTATTAATTTGGTCAATCTCAGATTTTCCTGGGAAGAGCGGTTTCTGGGTCAGCAGCTCCCCAAAAATACATCCCACTGACCACATATCTATGGCTGTAGAGTACTCCTGGAGAAGAAAATGGTAGATAATGTAGAATTAGAAAACTAAATCAAAGCAGTGATGTTGAAGAGTACTGTACTATAGCAATCATCATAATTCTGAGAAGAAATAGTACTCAGACGGCAGACTCCAAACTTGTTTCTTATGGCCACAAATTAATGAATTAGCCACCATTAACTCTCATGAGGTCACTGCTGCCGAGATGCCCAGGTCAATTTAGCAGCAAGCAAACAATGGTTAACTTGTCAATAACTATATGACTAATATGCACACCTAAAAATACTTTTTATATACAGAAGTTTTAAGAGCATTTTGTTTGATACACTGGTTTAATAAAAAGACACATTTTTATTTAATATACAGGTGAAACTCGAAAAATTAGAATATCGTGCAAAAGTTAATTTCAGGAATGCAACTTAGAAGGTGAAACTAATATATGAGATAGACATGCAAAGCAAGATAGTTCAAGCAGTGATTTGTCATAATTGTGAGGATTGTGGCTTATAGCTCATGAAAACCCCAAATCCACAATCTCAGAAAATTAGAATATTACATGCAATCAATAAAACAAGGATTGTACATAGAACAATATCGGACCTCTGAAAAGTATAAGCATGCATATGTACTCAGTACTTGGTTTGGGCCCCTTTTGCAGCAATTATTGCCTCAATGTGGCGTGGCATGGAAGCTATCAGCCTGTGGGACTGCTGAGGTGTTATGGAAGACCAGGATGCTTCAATAGCGGCCTTCAGCTCTTCTGCATTGTTCGGTCTCATGTCTCTCATCTTTCTCTTGGCAATGCCCCATAGATTTTCTATGGGGTTTAGGTCAGGCGAGTTTGCTGGCCAATCAAGCACAGTAATCCCACGATCATTGAACCAGGTTTTGGTGCTTTTGGCAGTGTGGGCAGGTGCCAAGTCCTGCTGGAAAATGAAGTCAGCATCCCCATAAAGCTCATCTGTGGAAGGAAGCATGAAGTGCTCCACAATCTCCTGGTAGATGGCTGCCGTGACCCTGGACTTAATGAAGCACAGTGGACCAACACCAGCAGATGACATGGCTCCCCAAATTAACACAGCCTGTGGAAACTTTACACTGGACTTCAAGCATCTTGCAGTGTGTGCCTCTCCATTCTTCCTCCATACTCTGGGTCCTTGGTTTCCAAATGAGATGCAAAAGTTGCTCTCATCAGAAAAGAGGACTTTGAACCACTGAGTAACAGACCAGGTCTGTTTTTCTTTAGCCCAGGTAAGACTCTTCTGACGTTGTTTGTTGTTCAGGAGCGGCTTGACAAGAGGAATACAACATTTGAAGTCCATGTCCATGATCCATCTGTGTGTGGTGGCTCTTGATGCACTGACTCCAGCCTCAGTCCACTCCTTGTGAAAGTCCCCAACACTTTTGAATGGCCTTTTCCTGACAATCCTCTCCAGGCTGCGGTTATCCCTGCTGCTTGTGCACCTTTTTCTTCCACACTTTTCCCTTCTACATAACTTTTTATTAATGTGCTTTGATACAGCACTTTGGGAACATCCAACTTTTTTTGCAATTACTTTTGAGGCTTTCCCTCCTTATGGAGGGTGTCAATGATGGTTTTCTGCACAACTGTCAGGTCAGCAGTCTTTCCCATGATTGTGATTCCTACTGAACCAGACAGAGACCATTTAAAGGCTCAGGAACCCTTTGCAGGTGTTATGGCTTAATTAGCTGATTAGAGTGGGACACTTTGAGCCTAGAATATTGCACCTTTTCACAATATTCTCATTTTCTGAGATTGTGGATTTGGGGTTTTAATGAGCTGTAAGCCATAATCATCACAATTATGACAAATCACAGCTTGAACTATCTTGCTTTGCATGTAATGAGTCTATCTCATATATTAGTTTCACCTTTTAAGTTGCATTACTGAAATAAATGAAATTTTGCACAATATTCTAATTTTTTGAGTTTCACCTGTAGGCTGAGAAAAGTGTAAAAAAAATAAAGCAAGTTACACTTTTTCTTCTTTAACTTATTTCTCTTAATACTGTAATTGTATCAGACAAATACAAGTATTGAATGTAATTAATGCACTGCAGATTTCACTACAGCCTGAGGATGGTGGGTTTTATCTGCAGAATTGAATTCTTTGAAACCCTAAGAACAAGTGGATGATTTCAAACGGTTATTGACAGCCGTAATTGAGAGCCAACAATCACACACAAAGAACACCACACTTTCCCAACAAGAGTGCCTGTTTTTCTCAACACATTAGCTTTCATCATCAGGAGATAGATACAATGCTCCACCCTAACCCTGACCACTAATTCTGCTCCCTGTAACCCCACCCCTAATAATAACCTTCCTAATGTAAATCTAACCTTTTGTTTGCATTCTCCTCTCGCTGAGTTCCTCCACGCTAAAGACTAAAGCTAGCCATAGATGAATCGAAGTTTGACCAGTTCAGCAATGACCGGCCGAATTTGAATCCGTCTAGAGGCAGGCTGACTTTATGGAGGTTGGTCAATGAATATGGTGATGGGGGAAATCAATTTTCTTTCCTGTAAGCTGTGGTTGCAGGAAAGAAAATGACTTAGTTTATGGCCTGCCTAACCCATCTATATCAGTGGCAGGATTCCGGTTACAGGATCTACCATTTAGATTTATTTGATCACTTGAACAGGTCCCTTTTCCATCAGCAGCTCACAACATCACTTTGATATCAAACTTCTGTTATAACCTCACCTTTTTATAGCAGTCGTATACAAAGTATGAGACTTCTGCAGGCCATAGACTGTTCGTATATCGGCCGATTTTTCGTCCGAAAGAATAAATCGGCCAATTTTTGCACCGTTAGTGGGGCAATATCATCGACCGATTTTTGCGGTTCCTCATTTCTTTTATCAGTCATGCTGGAAAATTTACGAAAAACGGCCGATTTTCACAATCATTGGTGGCAACAGAACGACCAATGTTTTGTTTTTCAGCTGAAAAATCGGACGATAAACGAACCATCTATGGCCTGCATTATCAAAAAGGAGCTAGTTTTAATATTCAGTTCAGAAGTAAGAACTTAATTTGCCCACTGCTCTCTAAAATCTTTATATGTAAACACCACAATAACAAGCCATGTTGTGCTGTCAAATGCCAACATTTTTTAAGGTACTTACCTTAGTTCCAAGTAAAAGCTCCGGGGCTCGGTACCACAGAGTCACTACAATGGGTGTGTAAGGTTTAAGTGGAGAACCATACTCACGGGCCAAACCAAAGTCCCCAACCTGTAAGAAAATCATTACTCAAGACACTATAAAACAACACTGATCCAATTATAGCTTACAGGTAAATACAAATGAAGGAACAAGTCAAATTATTGGCAAATGGATGCTGAAGGTGGCGTGAATCTCACTGAAAATTTGCTGTCCACTTCAGAATGCTAAATTTTAAAAAGCCCATCTAATAACCTTTATAGCTTTATAATACAAGACTAACTGAGACACAAAAGGGTGTTAATACACAGGTCACAGATGGGGAGGGGAAGGGAAGTACAAATGGGGTGACCTAAAGGGTTAAAAAAATACCATGATCAAATAATTAAACCCCCCCCCATTTTCACTGCGATTGTCTACAGCTGCCTACCTCCCTTCTTTCTAAGGCCCATCCTCCATTGTGAGGGGAAGGGGATGGCTTTCAAATGTTAAAACTGCAATGTTTATATTAATGATAGCCCTAATTGACCATCACAACAATCACAAGGCACAGAGCTATTCTAATTTGCTCACTGCATTTTGCTGCTCATTTGCACTGTTTTAAGGCGATTCTAAAATAACAAACATGTCTATACTTACCTGCTGTGTGCAGTGTTTTGCACAGAGCAGCCTGGATCCTCCTCTTCTCGGGTGCGCCGCAGGTTCTCCTGGCCTCTCCCTCCAGTTGGGTGCCCCCACAGCAAGCAGCTTTCTATGGGGGCACCCGCTGCTCCGTGTGTCCATTCACACAGGGAGCAGTGGCTTGGCCCCACCCCTCTCTCCTCATTAGCTGACTGGCTGTGATTGACAGCAGCTTGCTGTCTCAGCCAATGAGAAGGCAGAGACTCGGGACAGCCAAGGATATCTTTCACATCGCTTGAATGCGCTCGAGTATTGGGGGGGGGGGGGGGGGCACTGCTGCACACAGAAGGTTTTTTACCTTCATGCATAGAATGCATGAAGGCAAAAACACCTTCAGCCTTTACATCCACTTTAAAGACAGTTCGATCACAGGCCTTCAAAGAGTGCACTGGCTGCCCGTGAGTATTGTCTGCAGTGTTGTGTGATAACTCCACATACCAACTACTTTTTTTTTTTTTTTTGTAATACAGTATATGATGATCGTAGGATGGTTAAACAGTAAACTTGTATCACCTCACTGGGCTTTGTTCATGCATCAAACAGAATGAGCAAGGACAACCCGAGATCAGTTAAAAATATCTAATCGTTTAAAAGGGCCTGTGCAGACAGCTTTTGTTCACTTCAAGCGGGTTTTTTTTTAACCTAAAATAAACAATTGTTCCATTTTTTTTTAACCTGGCCAAAGGTAATCTTATATCTATAGGAACATTAACCACTTCAATTCCAGGCACTTTTACCCCCTTCCCGTCCAGGCCAATTTTCAGCTTTCAGTGTTGTCACACTTTGAATGACAATTGTGCGGTCATGCAACACTACCCATAAAAAAAATGTTATTTTTTTCCACACAAACAGAGCTTTCTTTTGGTGGTATTTAATCACCATTGAGTTTTTTATTTTTTGCTAAACAAAAAAAACCTGAAACTTTTGAAAAAAAAACTCCTTTTTCTCCGTTTTGTTATAAAACTTTGCAAATCACATTTCTTCATAAATGTAGGTCAAAATGTAGTCTGCTACATTTCTTTGGTAAAAACACCCCAAATTAGTGTATATTATTTAGTCTGATGGAAAGTTATAGTTATAAAGTTACCAAGGTATATATATCTGACAGTCAATCAATGTACTGACGGCCAGGCCAATCTAATTTCTTGAGGCCTGAAAATGCCAGCATAGCACAAATACCCCCCCAAATTACCCACTTTTGGAAAATAGACAGTCCAAGGTATTTAGTAAGAGGCATGGTGAGTTTTTTGGAGGTTGTAATTTTTTGTTACAATTTTTTGGAAAATGTAGAAATTAAAAAAAAACAATTTTAATTTTTTTCCAAATTTGTCTATTTTTTATTACACTAGTTTTTCTTTTTTTACTATTTTGTTTTCAACACACCATGACCAAAGTAACATATAACTACTCTGGGCAAGAGATCAGGATTTTTTTTTTTTTTTTTTACACATTATGATTGCCAATACCAATGTATTTCATTGATATTTGCAATCATTGTTACTGAATGAAAACGGATTCATTCAATCTTTTGTTGTGAATAGCTGTGATTGGGCAAAGCTCACCACATGATAGATGGGTTGTGATTGGCCCTGTCAGTACCATGTGACTGCTTTGATCAATCACAGTTAACAACACAATTGTATACAATGAATGGCATGACAGGAAGCCATCCATTGTATACAATCGACATGTGATCTGCTGTGACTGGTCACAGTGGTCACATGACACTGGCAACAGGCTGAGTAGTGGATATGTCATCGACTGTGTGTCCTGTGTACACAGCCAGTGACAGATTTTGACAGGACATCATATGATGCCCAGTCACAACGGCATGTCCCTCCTGGCCGTCAATCTGCTATAGGTCGGGCAGGAAGGTGTTAAATATCTATGTACTTACCTTTAATATACCAGCATGACTGAGCAGCAAATTGGAGGTCTTTAGATCCCTATGAAGAATCCAGTTATCATGCAGATGGCGAACTCCTCGTAACAGCTGAATCATTAGCGTTTTCACCTCACCTGTGGACATGGTAAATGGATAAGTACTGGTACTCTTTACAGTTCACAGTATGCCTAGCACACAGGCTAAATACACAAGTGCTACAAAGCTTTCTTTATCTGAGCTAATCAGCAACAGATGTCAGTTAACAGGAAAAAAAAAAAAAAAAAATGTAAACCTAACTTACAGTGAACTGTACTAAAACTCTGGATGTAAGAATTATCAGTTCTGAGAATTATCAGTGTCCAAAACCTATAATGGGTGGTTTTTTAGTCACTTCAGTGTTATAACATATAGACTCCCCAGGTTTGGATTATAGAAAAAAAAACCAAAAACTGGTTACAAAACAATGCTCAAGAATTACTGGCCAGTTTTGCAGCGAATGTTTATATAAACATTCAGACAAGCATACAGCTACAGTGTCTGGTTCCTACAAATTCCAGCCTCAAGATATTCAGCTCATGCAAAAAGTTACAGCCAACTCCGTTTTACATTTATTGTCAGGGCAAAGTAACATTCTTCCTGTTCTCTAGCTGGTCTAAAACCGCTTTTAACCTAAAGGGACGCTTTTTTGGATGCCATGGACTTTTCTAAGCTTTCCAGGCAGAAAGAACATTCAAAAATGCAGACAGGGGACAGGACAGAGCACTATGGGACAAAATATAATGTGAAATGGGTTGAAACAGCAATGTTTTACTATGTAAAATCATTTTGAAAAAAAATGACATTTTTTTTAAATTTTCAAATTTTCCCGCCGCCCGTACGTCCCAGGGACCGGAACACAGGAGCCAGATGCCGGCATCAGCCGGAGGAGATGGCCGGGGACGCTGCAGGGGACACATCGCGGGAGCGAAGAACAAGATAAGTGCTGCAGGGACTCCCTATGCAACGCCGCATGGTAAGCCCGAGTGTAGCTCGGGGTTACCGCTTTTGGTACAGACATTTTACCCCGAGCTACACTCGGGATATACCGTTAGGGAGGTTAATGGAGGTTGCCATTACTGAACTCTTCTTTGAGAATGATTATTATTATTATACAGTATTTATAAAGCGCCAATAGTTCGCTCAGCGCTGAACATTACAAAGGGGGACAGAACATGTGACAGAACAATAACAATACAATGCAAAACATGAGGGGATCGAGGACCCTGCTCTTTCAAGCTTACAATCTAGGAGAATGATAGTTCTTTAGCTGCCAGTCTGATGCTTTGACTTCATGTTCTCTGAGTCACTGACCCAGAACAAGTGTAAAGATAAGTTGTTCTAATGGCAGCATGCTTTTTCTGGAGCTGTGACAAACATACTTAAGTCAGACACAGCCAGATGTCTAACATTTACAGAAGGAGGCCTGCAATGGCAGCCCCACATTTCTCTCACTTTAATTTATATCCATGGGGAGCCAATACTACTGTGCATAGTTGTTGTCAAAGCAAAATAACCATAGGTTGTCTCTTAGATTGTAAGCCCCTGATCCCTCCTGTATTAAACTGTATTGTAATTGTACAGTCTGCCCTTATGTTGTAAAGTGCTGTATAAACTGTTGGCACTATATAAATCCTGTATTGTAATAATAATTTGTTTTTGTTAGTGTAAAGTGTCTTTAAGCAAGCCTTGTAAGCCAGCAAGGTCTCCTGGATCACAGAAAATACCAAACATAAATCATCATAACCTACTGTTACTTACACTACTCAATTTACCTGGTAGAAAGGGTTGTTTCATGGTCTCCATGAGACTCTTCAAATCATGTTCCACATAGTTCATTACAATATAAATTTTGTCCATGTTGCTCCCGACAACAATTTCCTGCCAGAAGACATGAAAGAAAAGTATGAGCACACCAACACTTAACCTCTTCAAGCCGACCCTAAGCAAACATGCAGCCTCTCAGCGGCTGGGCCTTGACACGAGCGACCGCATATTTGCATACCATTTGTAAACATGTGCTGAGAGCGTGCTCCCAACACATGTGTGTCGATCTCCCACGGAAAGGTCCCGACACGTGCTGCTGTGACAGCCAATCATGGCGGTCACATGACACTAAATCACGCCCCACCTCCCGGCGTCAGAAACACCTTAAAGGGCCAGGAGGCGCCCGGCGCGAAGGGGTTAAATGTCACAACATAACAAGTAGTCCCAGACTGTGAGAATGTGTAGGAAAACCCTGCAAACAGGAAATTCAGTAGGTATGGCTGGCCAATGTACACAGATAGGCACAAATGAAGTACAGGAACAGGAATTTTAAAAACATTAACACACATGGGAATAATGAAAAACCTGAAAAGAGAAATTGAATCAATAAAAAAAAAAAAGACTATAGAGTCTGAATAAAATGGAATATTCCCCCACTTGCTGCCCACCCACAGTACTTTTACTGTGGATGGGCAGCATGGCCAATCTTAGCAACGTAAATATATTTTACCTGCCACATGCGCAATGGCAGCTCCCTGAAATGCTGTGTTCACTATGAGTCACAATGTAAACAAAGCTGTTAGAAATTTAACCACTTCAAGTCCAGACACTTTTTACCCCCTTCCTGTAAAGGCCAATTTTCAGCTTTCAGTGCTATCACACTTTGAATGACAATTGGGCGGTCATGCAACACTGTACCCATATGAGACAGATAAAAATCCCAGTGGTGAATAAATACCACCAAAATAAAGCTTTATTTTTTTGCTATGTAATTGAAAAAGTCCAAAAATTTAAAAAAAAAAAAAAAAAGTGTTTTTCCTATAAAATTTTGAAAATAAATAATCTTTCATCATAAATCTTGGCAAAATTTATTCAGTTATCTTTTTAGTGAAAAAAAAAAATTAGTTTATACCCAAAAATTATAATTTTTAAATTTCTTTTTATATTATTTTATTATATTATTTATGGGTTTTTTTTTTTTTTGTTTTTGTTTTTTTTTTTTTACATACTGTCACCCTAGCAGTACAGTGTCACCATGGTGACACTGTACTGCTTGTAGGGGGGTGATGAATGAAGATTTTTTTTACACTGATTGTTTTTACACCCATAAAGGCTGTAAAAGCAATAATTTCTCCTCTCTGGCTGCATTCTTGAGAACTACTGTGAGCTGTGATTGGTCACAGCTTGTCACATGGTACAAGGCTGTTGTGAATAGCCTTGTACCATGTGACCTCTGTGATCATTCACAGATTTCACACGTAGTAAGCAATGATGTCAGAAGTGACATCTTGCTTACTACTCTGCATTGGCCAGTGATGACATGATCGGGACCTCGCACAGAGGTCCCGTATGACAATCGGTGTTCTACTGTGTCCGGAGGACACAGCGGGCACCGGATCGCGGTGATGCTCGCTGGTAACCAGAGTGCGCACAAGCAGGGGGCGGGGAGGCCGTTTATAAATGGCCACCAGCCCTACACTGCCACCGTCCCACGGGAGGTGGTTAATTCATAACAGCTGTGATTCATTATGAACCAAGCCATGATTGGCCCACAACTATCACATGTACAGTTGGGTTCAAAATAATAGCAGTGTGTTGAAAAAAGTGAATAAAGCTCAAAATCCTTCTAATAGCTTTTATTTCCATACACACAAATGCATTGGGAACACTACACATTCTATTCAAAATCAACCTGAAAAAAATATATCAAATGTGTGTTGTTCCACTAAAAAATTGAAGAAAAGTGAATATTAGACCTGGTCAAAAAAAATAGCAGTGTTTGTATTCTTCTTAACAAACTCAAACATTCACTATATAAACTGAAACATGTTTGAAGATTTTGCTTTCCTTTGAATCACTTAATGAATATTTAGTTGTATAAGCACTGTTTCTGAGAACTGCTGTACATCTGTGTTGCATGGAGTCAACCAACTTCTGGCAACTGTGAACAGGTTTACAGCCCAGGATGATTGGACTACATTCCACAGTTCTTCTCTATTTCTTGGTTTTGCCTCCGAAACTGCATTTTTAATGTCACCCCACAAGTTTTCTATTAGATTAACCACTTGCCGACCGCAGCATAAGCCGAAAGACGGCTTCACCGCTTCAATCCCCGGCCAGTTCCCTGGACGTCATCCATGACGTCCTCCCAGAACGCGCTCTCCTTTGAATGCCCCACAATTGGGCGCACCCGGCATCTCCGTGATCGCTGTGTCCTAGGACACAGCTGATCACGAGATGTGGTGAAAGGCCGATCCCACCGGCCTTTTACCACGTGATCAGCGGTGTCCAATGACACGCTGATCACAGGAAAATGCAATTGCCGGTTCTCGGCTGCAGTGTTTTCCTCACGCTGTCAGATCGTGAGGAAAGTACTGCCGAAACCGGCAGTTTTTCACAGCGGGGATCGGCACCGACCCATCAGGGCATGATGATCATTTCTTGCCCTGATATCGGTGCCCAGGTTTTTTTTGATTTTGATTTTTTTCCGATTAGCAGTGCGCACCACTAGCCCCGCCCACCCATTCCCACAGTGCCCCCACCTGTAGGGCCCAGCAGTACCCCCACCTGTGCCCAGCAGTTCCCCCACCTGTGCCTCTGCAGTGCCACCTACCTGTGCCCAGAAGTGCCATCATTCACAGATTTACACATGATGTCAGCAGTGCCATGACATGATGCCTCGCACAGAGGTCCTGTATGACAACCGGTGCCACCTACTGTGTCCGGAGTGCCACCCACCTGTGCCACCGGATGCCACCCATGCTCAGCTGCACCCACCTGTGCCCACAAGCAGGGCCAACCACCAGTGCGTTTAGTAAATGGCCACCAGCCCCTACAGTGCCAGGGGTTGTGCCAGTCAGTGCCGCCAGTCAGGGAAGTGATTCAGTCAGTGTGATTCATATCAGTACCAATCATGATTGTCACCATATCAGTTGGGTTCCTATAGCAGTGTGTTGATATCAGTGAATAAAGCTCAAAATCCTGACCCCTAATAGCTTTATTTCAGTACACACAAATCATTGTGAAACCTCACTACACTGCATTCAGTGCCCTTTAGTGCTGCCTATCAGTGCCCATCAGTGCCGCCTATCAGTGCCCATCAGTGCCGCCTCATCAACGCAAATCCGTGAAGGAGAAAAAATACCTGTTTGAAAAATTTTATAAAAGAAACAAATAAACTTTTTTTTTTTTCAAATTTTTTGCACTTTTTTTAATTTATAGCGCAAAAAGTAAAGCGCCCAGTGGCGATTAAATACCACCAAAAGAAAGCTCTATTTGTGAGAAAAAAATGATCAAAATTTCATATGGGTACAATGTTGCATGACCGCGCAATTGTCAATCAAAGTGCGGCAGTGCTGAAAGCTGAAAATTGGCCTGGTAAGGAAGGGGGTATAAGTGCACGGTAGGCAAGTGGTTAAGATCCGGGGATTGGGCTGGCCACTCCATAACGTCAATCTTGTTGGTCTGGAACCAAGATGTTGCACGTTTACTGGTGTGTTTGGGGTCGTTGTCTTGTTGGAACACCCATTTCAAGGGCATTTCCTCTTCAGCATAAGGCAGTATGACCTCTTCAAGTATTCTGATGTATTCAAACTGATCCATGATCCCTGGTATGCGATAAATAGGCCCACCGTAGTATGAGAAACATCTCCATATCATGATGCTTGCGCAACCATGCTTCACTGTCTTCACAGTGTACTGTGGCTTGAATTCAGTGTTTGGGGGTCGTCTGACAAACTGTCTCCGGCCACTAGACCCAAAAAGAACAATCTTACTTTCATCAGTCCACAAAATGTTGCACCATTTCTCTTTAGGCCAGTCAATGTGCTCTTTGGCAAATTGTAACCTCTTCAGCACGTCTTTCTTTCAACAGTGGGACTTTGTGGGGGCTTCTTGCAGATAGCTTGGCTTCACATAGGCGTCTTCTAATTGTAACAGTACTCACAGGTAACTTTAGACCTTCTTTGATCTTCCTGGAGCGGATTGTTGGCTGAGTCCTTGCCATTTTGGCTATTCTTCTATCCATTCGAATGGTAGTTTTTTGCTTTCTTCCACGTCTTTCAGGTTTTAGTTGCCATTTTAAAGCATTTGCGATCATTTTAGCTGAGCAGCCTATCATTTTCTGCACTTTTTTTATATGTTTTCCCCTCTCCAATTAACTTTTTAATCAAGGTACGCTGTTCTTCTGGACAATGTCTGGAATGACCCATTTTACTCAGAATTTCAGAGAGAAATGCACTGTAACCAGCATGTACAACATTTGCTGCCTTCCTTCCTTAAATAAGGGCAATAATTGCCACCTGTTTTTCAAAGAATGAATGACCTTACTAAGAGAACTCCACACTGCTATTTTGAAAATGCCCCTTTCAATTAGTGATTCAATTGCACAGAATCAGCAGCATGAATGTCATGACTGTTGGGTCTGTTGGATTTCTATTACTCTACTACACCTGCTAGTAAATTATTTGCCATGTAGAAATATCATTTCTATCAAAAACAGTGATTGATCAGGTTAGTGATGTCTGACTGCTATTATTTTGAACACAACTGTACCAGGGGCAATTACAGCACCCTCAAACAAGTGATTAGCTGTAGCCAGTTACAGCACGTCAACAATAACCCCAGCAGTTATGAATGCAACCCATTCAAGACAGTTCAAACAACTTTGGGCCCAATTTGGACATTTTCACTTTTGTTGCCAGCGGTTTAGACATTAATGGCTGTGTGTCGAGTCATTTTGAGGGGAGAGCAAATTTACACTGTTATACAAGCTGTACACTCACTACTTTATATTGCAGCAAAGTGTCATTTCTTCAGTGTTGTCACATGAAAAGATAGAATATTTACAAAAATGTGAGGGGTGTACTCACTTATGAAAGTATGCAAAAAAAAAA